CTTTCACCTCTCACACTGTCACTACAGTTCAACCCCAGTCCTCAAAGGAAGATCCAAATATAGAATTGCATCTGGTGAGTTGTATCATCAGAAGCGAAGTAGGAGTGAGGGGTCTATTGAAGAGACTCCTCCCAAAGTAAGGTCTTTGGAGCCATCAGGGAAGGCTTCAGAGATCTCAGTGGTGACAGCTTCAGCTGCCACTACATCCGCAAGGGCCTCCACTCCCAGACAGAATGCCCCTGAACCACATGCTCAGGTCCACCCTTTGCTCAGGTAAAGGAATCCTGAGGCAATTCCAATTCCAAGACCCTGGTAAGGGAAAAGTCTAGAGGTGTTGGGCAGGCCTTAACCACAGTTGCTGCCAAACACCTTATAAAATCCAATGGTACTGTCAGGGAATGCATGCGACATAGGAGGAATACAACTTACAACTTAATATAACCCAGTTTGTGATTGCCTACAAGAGAGTTATGACCAGGGAAAATCGTCCAATTTCCTGCAGGGATTCTTTTGCAGGCGAAACTGCAGTGATGGCCATGAGAATTGGCTTGAACACAACCTGGCAGTTACATCTACCTTCCTCTACATAATCTTAACACAGATTATTTGGACGCTTTGTTTGGGCAGTTTGCTTCATCCATTTCTACTCTTGGGAGATCTCAATGGCAGGCATCACCTCTGGGGAAACACTTCGTGCAACCCTCGAGGACGGATCTTGGACTCCTCTTTCTCTAGAGATGTAGTTTTTTTTTTCTGAATAGTGACACACTCACACCTTTTCAGATTCAACTGGGACATTCAGTGTCAGGTTCACTTGGTGCACAGTTGGAGTTCACTTGGCGGGTCATGGAAGACTTACATGGAAGTGACCACTTCCCAATGCTTTTGGAGTCAGTGAATGGTATTCCAGCTCATGGGGGTGAGATGGCGGCAACTGTAGTAATGCAAGGATCTGTGAAAGATTTCAATTGTATTCAAGACATTGATGATCACTTCACATCACTAATTCACTTCGTAGCAGCAGAATCCATTCCAATATAAGTAGCCAATATCATCGACCTTCGGTGACATCAAAGTCAAGAAAAAGTTGCTCTAAGATAGCTGAAACAATGACCAGCAATGTGCCTAATCCAATATAAATGGACCCAGGCCAAGGCCAGGCGAGTGCTCAAGGAAGCTAGATTGCTGGAAAGAGCAAATCCGTTTCACCCCTGCTCTGAAGATAGATGGCATAATGCTCA